AATTATTGGAGGTAGCCAAATCCAGTGAAGTTGAAACGGTAAATGAGGTCTTGACTCGTGTGGCTCAGTGGGTTGGACATAGTCCCACAAACTGAAAGGTCACCAGCTTGATTCCTGGTCAGTGCACGCGCCTGGGGTGAAGGCCAGGTCTCTAGTTGGGGGTGTGAAAGAGGCAACCAATCGATGTTTCTAGTGCACATTGGTGTTCTTCTTTCTCCCTCCCTTCTCCTCTCTCTAAAAGATAAATAAATACAATCTTAAAAAAAGAAATGATAAATGAGTATCAGAAACATTCATCTATCTCTGGCTGGTATGGTTCAGTGGACTGAGTGCTGGCCTTTGGACCCAAAGGCAGCTGGTTCAATTCCCAGTCAGGACATATGCCTGGGTTGCAGGTCTCATCCCAAGTGGATGTTTCTCTCACACATTGATGTTTTTCTCCCTCTCTTTCTCCCTCTTTCCCCCTGTCTCTAAAAATAAATAAAAATCTTGAAATGCTTTAAAAAAAGAAACATCAGTCTTAGGCCTCGGTGGGTGTGGCTTGGTTGGTTGGAGCCTAGTCCTGTGGACCAAAAGGTTTGGGGTTCAGTCCGCGGCCCCCTGGATGGGACGTGTTGGGACGTGTAGGGGAAGAAACTGAGCTGTTACTCTCTCACGTCAATGTTTCTTTTTCTCTCTCTCCCTTCCTCCCTCCCTAAAGTCAGTAACTGTATCCTCCCTGAGGACTGAAAAAAAAAATCAGTCTTACTTTGTATGTGCATTCTTTCTTTCATCCAGTCAACAAATACCTGCTGTCTTTTTATAAAAGTTGTGGTAAAATACATACAACATAAAATTTGCCATCTTAATCATTTTTAACTGTAGTTCAGTAGTGTTAGGTAAATTTACATTGTTTTTCTACTAATCTCCAGAACTCTTTTCATCTTGTAAATCTGAAACTCTATTTCCTTTAAACAACAACTCCCTATTTTCCCCTCCTTCTAGCCCCTGGCAACATACCTACTTCATGTCACTGTGCATTTGATTAGTCTAGGTACCTCATATAAGTGGAAACATAAATTAAATATTTTTCTTTTTGTGACTGGCTTAATTCACTTAGCATGATATCTTCAAGTTTCTTGCATGTTGTAGCATGTGTAGGATTTTTTCTTCTTTTTTTAAGGCAGAATAATATTTCATTATATGCATACAGGGTCTGGCAGAAGTAATACCTATTTGAGTATGGTTGGTAGGGTAATAATATGGGTGTAATAATTTATAGTTTTAATATGAACATTTCCCCCAAAATGTCACATGATGTGCCTGAGTATGATATTGTTATGTTACAGGATTACATGCTTATGATTTTGTAATAAAAGGCTTTGTAATAAAAAGGGGGCATTATTTGTGCTGGACCCTGTATTTGCTTATATTAGCAGGATTATTTCACTCACCCTCATTAAGAACATTCACAGTGTAGGGCATTACAAACCTTGTATAGTCTATTGTAAAAACAATATAGATGACACATTTTATATTCTGAAATCACCTTTAACATGCTATTATTATTATAATGAAAAACTTATGTGAGTTCTCATAGAGATAAAGGTTGAACTAATGCAGTGGTGGAAGAAATGGAAAGTAGGGGTTGGATTTAAAAGATATTTAAGTGCTAGAAGCAACAGAATTTTGGCCGTGGATGAGTAGCTCAGTTGGTTAGAGTGTCATTCTGATACAGTAAGGTTATAGGTTTGATCCCTGGACAGGGCACATACAAGAATCTGCCAATGAATCCATAAATAGATAGAACGACAAATCGATGTGTTTTTTTTCCCCTCTCTTCTCTCTCTCTAAAAAAGAAATCAATAATTTTTTTTTTTTTTAAAGCAACAGTACTTTGTAACTAATTGAATGTGGAAAACATATGAGAAGAAACAAGTCCTAGCTGGTGTGGCTCAGTGGATTGAGTGCTGGCCTGCAAACCAAAAGGTCTCTGGTTTGATTCCCAGTCTAGGGCACATGCCTGGGTTGCAGACCTGGCGTGGGGTGTATGAGAGTCAACCATACATTGATGTTTTTCCCCTCTCTTTCCTCCCTCCCTTTCCCTCTTTAAAAATAAATAAATAAAGTCTTTAAAAAAAATTAAGGATAATGGAGACTGGAAGAGTTATTAAAATGGTGGCGTTATTGCCCACTTAAGGGAATACGACAGTAGTTGGTGTGTGTGTTGAAGGGATGGTTAATTAATTTGACTTTGGAAATACTGAATTTCAGATGTGTACGGGAAACTTTGCTTTAGCTAAACCTTTCCTTCGTTATGAGCTGGTGATGAAACTAGAAGAAAAGGAACCACCAGAAGGAGATAGAGGAGGGAACATCTAAAACACTGTGTTGTATGTTATATAAGTGAAAGAGTGAGTTTTGAGGGTATCTTTATTCTGAGGCATATAGATATACACAAATTTAACCTTCTTGAAGTAGCATTATTTTACTTCAATAATATCTACAGTTCAGCATTTAAAATATGTTAATAGAAAAAAGAAACTTGAAATGAAGGCAGGAGATAACGTAACAATTTGTACTAACAGATGGGCCACAGTCACCAAGGAGTCTAAAAGAGATCTGCGGTGTAAGAATCTGTTAGTGTGCCTCTAGCACTGTCTAGGGGAGAAAGGGAATAGTGGAGAAAAAAAGATTCAAGAATCTACTGTGTTGGACAGAGAACAGGACGAGGGTTAGAATACAATCTTTCTGAATAAGTAATAGTCATATTTATGGAGTGCTTCCTATTTACCAAGGACTGTGACAGTTATTCTAAATATTTTTATCTCAGAATCAGCATGATAATCCAAAGATTAGGTATGATTGGCTCCAATTTATAGTTCAATGTACTGAGCCTCAAAAAGTTTAAAATCTGTTCAGGTTCAAAGTACAGTAAGTGAGAGAACCGCAAGTTGACCAGATGGGTCTGACTTCAAGGCCTGGGCTGTTTCCACTTCATCCAATAGACCCCAAACCTATTTGTGCATCAGTTTGCCTGAAGAATATGTTAAAACATATTTTCTAGCTTTCTACTCAAGATTGTCTCAGCATTTTTCTCTCAATGTTGTTGCTAAGATTTCAAACAATAAAGTATATTGGACTGTTCCATAAACTTCAAGTTTAACTTAGATATAGTTTAATGACTTTATTATGTGATCGTCTAATTCCTTTCTTTTTGTATTTATATTATTTAATTTATTATTATATTTTGAGATAACACTTGTTAGTAACATTATAGAATTTATAGTACATTATAATTTAATATCTGTATACAGTATAACATGCATACATCTAAACTAGATTCCATTCATTGTCATACATTTGACCCCCGTTTACACATTTTGCCTTGCCTCTACCCTACCTTCTCCTCTGGTAACTACCAATCTGTTGTCTGTATCTATGAGTTTGTTTTTGTTTTGTTCGTTTCATTTTTTTGTTTTATATTCCACATGTAAGTGAAATCATATGGTTTTTGTCTTTTTTCATCTAACTTATTTCATTTAGCATAATATCCTCATGGTCCATCCATGCTGTTGTAAGTGGCAATATTTCATCGTTTTTATGGCTGAGTAATATTCTATTGTGTGTGTGTGTGTGTATATACACATACATCTTCTTTATCCAGTCATCCCTCAATGGACACTTGGGTTACTTCCATATCTTGGCTATTGTAAATAATGCTGCAATGAACATAGGGGTGCATATATCTTTTCAAATTAGTGTTTTCATAACACCTACATTTTGGATAAATACCCAGAAGTTTAATTCCCTTTTTTTTGATTTTCTAGTAAGGAAATAATTTTCTGATAATTAATTAGGCTCATCAAGTACCTTGACTCTAGAAAAGGGGGCCCAAAATTATGTTTCAGCTTGATAGTACCCACGTTATAAATCAAGAAACATTTTATTTCTAATTCCCCAAACTCGATCATCCCTTTATGAAATAAGATAACAAAGTTTTTTAAAAAAAGGTTTTATTTATTTATTTTTTAGAGAGAGGGGAAGGGAGAGTGAAAGAGAAAAATATCTATGTGTGAGAGATACATCAATCAGTTGCCTCTAGCTGGCTCCTGCCCCAGGCGTGTGCCCTGACTGGGTATCCAACCAGCAACCTTTCAGTACTCAGGCTGGCACTCAGTCCACTGAGCCACACCAGCTGGGGCATAAAATAAAGTTTTGAAATCAGTAAAACTGAATAATGATGTTCAAAGCAGAAGAGGTATAGTTTTAATTAGGGACTTCATTGGGGTAGAATATTAAGTTTTTACCTGGAGGTTGGTCTGTGAATAGTTTACAAAATTAACTTGTTTTTGTATAAGACCACCTTTTCTTCTCAGTTCCAATATACCATAGCTAGTATTAGCTTGAGCCAGAAAATGGAATGGGGCCACATCCATGGCTTCTTTAAAATGCTTCCTGCCTCCTGTTCCTTCCTCCCCGGTTCCCCACTATCCCTAACAAGCATAGTTTTTTTGTTTGTTTGTTTGATTTAAAGGAGTAGTTTATTTAAGCCAGGCAATTGTCGAGGAGTAAGATCTCAAATGCTTTTTCCAGTATTAAGTTTACCAAAAAAGGTCTGACCTTCTGCCCCAAGAGAAATTCTAGGTATTAATTCCTCTCTCAAGTGGGGTTTGAAGTTATATGTAAATTAGCATTGTTTTCCACTGACCAGGAAAGACTGGTAGTTTACTAATAGGCAAATACCCTTGCTGTTTCTTTGCAATGTTTACAAAGGCACTCAGCAGGCACTTACTAAATGCATGCTCCAAGAAGAAAGGTTAAGCAGCTTCCCCAAGACCACACATCTAAAAAGTAAGGGGGAGGGGACTGGAAGTGCCTGTTATATCCAGTTACACTCCCATAATTACTCAAACCGCCTTATTCCGAATCCAAGGACCGGCTTTCAAGGGGACAAGAAAGGAATGCCCGGGAGGTGATAGCCAGGAAATCGGGAGAGGTGCTTTTCCCAGCATGCTCTGCAGCACACCGAGGGGCGCCAGACGTATCCCGGCGTGCATCGGGGAGCGCCCAAGGGCGATGGTTCCCGGCTCCTGGAGGGGTACGCGAAGTTAAACCGGTAGGTGTGAGCTTTCTTAGTTTTCAGACCTTGTTTTTTCGTTTTTCCTTTATGACTACAACCCCCTAACGGCAGAAAAGGAGGTCCTCTGACTGGCCTCTCTTTCCGCGTGCGAATGACTTTCGGCGCCGCTTCGAGCACAGTGCCAGGTGATTAGCGGTTAGGGGCAGGACTGAGCTGAGCACGTGACCAAAGCTGGCAGCCAATGACTAGCCGGGTGGTCCAGCAGCGCGAGGATTCCCGGACCCGTGAGCGGAGCGGCACGGCGCGTGGGTCTGCTTCGGTCGGCCCTGGCAGGTATGCGCAGGCGCCTTGGTTGCCACGCGTTCCGTCCGTCCCCACGCGCCCAGTGGCGTGTACTTGGCGCGAGGTGTTAAAGAGTCTATTTGGGTGTTTTTTGTGGGTAGGGGGAAGTAGAGGGTTGAGGGGGGCAATGGCGTCACGTGGACGCCACAGCCAATCGCAGTCCGAGGCGCACCCACAGCTTTCCCCGGCGCCCCGGGGTGCGACGTGTTCAGTGAGGTTCGGCTCAGCCCTGACGGCCTGAGCTGTTTTTCGAAGCGCCTGTGCGGTTTGTAAAATCTGGCCACGGGTTTTCGCGGTCTTCAGCACCGCTGTAAGCACGGACGACAAGTTCACATCAAAATGGCTGCTGGAAAGAGTCGCCAAGCAGGGGGAGCGCTGGGGCCGCGTGAAGGTCACATGATGAGGTTGGCAGCGCGTGCTGCTGGCGCGGGGAAGGGGGAGGATGGGAGAGGGGAGATGCGTAGTCAGTCACGTGCCGTCGACTGCGCGGTCCCGTGCTTTTTCTCCGCTTCTGCTGCGATTAGATGGTCAGCTTTTACTCCTCCCACATGAAAGCGTGGCAAGCCTCGCCCGGAACCTGTGTGGTGCGGTGGAATGCCCGACGTCTAGGAATTAGAGGCCTGGGATCTGTCTAAGCATTGGTTACTTCAGTACTTTTGTCACATTGCCACTCCCGACCTTCATTTTCTCCTTTATATTTTAGCTGTGTGTAGATTATTTTTTTAAGGTCCTTCATGTGGTGTATGACCTCTGCTTTATCCCAATGTCATGCAGATAGTGAAGAAAGTAACTGAGCATACTATTCACAATTATAAGACAATTCCATCTTTTCACAGCAGCCCTCTACGCCCACGTTACAATGATGCGGGAAACCTGGTGGATATGAAAACTATTTTTTTAGACGTCCAGTTCTCGTGTTTCCTAGAAAGATAACGAGATTAGTATTCTTATAACTGGAGATGAGCAAACACAGGTAGTTAGAAGGGTCTTGCTAATGCCCCATAAGGCTTCTCTACTTGATGGGCCAGTCCTTGTAAAACATTTGAGGTTCACTGCCGCCAGCCTTTGGTTCTCTTCTGTCAGTTACAGCTTTTCATGTTACCGAAGGTCAAGGCCTTTAGTGAAATGAAAGAAGCATACATTATGTATTTTTATATCACTCTTTAGTGTTTATGCTACCCTTTGATGTATCTTAAAGAGCCTTTGAGTTTTGTGGGAGCACGATCTGGGAAACGTTTATTGAGCATCATAATAGTTTTCACTTCTGAGCAATTATAATAGTTAACATCTTGCTAGCATAGTACCTTATATATGTCTTAATTCATTTAGTTTTCATAACAAACCTATAAGGTAAATACTATTATCCCCATTTATCAATGAGGGAAATAGCAAAAGAGAGATTAAGTAATTTGCATAAGGCCATGTGGCTGATAATTTTATGGAATTCCTTCTGAAAACTTGACAAAATGATTCTAAAGTTCATTTGAAGGAACGAACCTGTAAAGTCGGAAAATTTTTGAAAGAGAAAAGTGAGGAGGGGAAAAGAATTACACTAGTGAGTATACAAATAAAGCTGTGATAATTAATAGGTAGTAACTCTGGAATAGAGCAGTGGAACAGATAATAAATTTAGAAATATATAAGTCTCTCTTGTACTATAAAAGTGGCTTTACGAAGTAGTTGAGAAAATTTCAAAATTATATTGAAACAATTTTTTTCACGTGAAATATATTTTTACTAAATGTAAAGGAAATTTAACATTTCTTTTAAAAATTTACTTGATGTATTATTTTTAATTTTTATGGAACAAATGACTATTTGGGGAGAAAAGGAATTGTACCTTAAAATATAAATAAAATGAAATCCAGGTGAATTAAATATTTAAATACAAAAAGTGAAGTCAGAAAATTACTACTTTAAAAAATAGGTAAACAGTTTTCCAATCTTGGGCTAGGATGAGCTGTTCTAAGCCTGACTGCAAAGGCAGAATCCATAAATGCAAAGATTGATAGAGTTATTGCATGAAACAGCCTCTAGTTGGCAAAATCACCATAAAGTTAAAAAAGAAATTTATTCATTTAGTGTTCATTTAACATATTTATCAAGTAGTCGCTATGTGCCAGGCAGTTTTTCAGGTATAGAGAATCCAATGATGAACAAAGCCAGGCAAATAGTGAGGGAAAAAAATGTGTCGGACCTAGGTTAATGACTTTAATGTCTATTGGATGGGCAAAAGACATGAATAGGTAGGTCACACACACACAGGGACATAAAAATGACCAATGAAGACAAAAATTCATCATTTTTCAATTATAAACAAATAACACAATAACTTCTGCCACACTAGCAGATTGGCATTTATGTAATAATATATTAATATCTGGTATTGGCATAGGAATGCGGAAATTGATAAATTCATATGCTGCTGTTGGTGGATATTTACAAAAGAACACCCTTAATGGAGGGCATTTTGACTATACTTATTGAAATTATTAAAAACATGTATGTCTTTTGACTCAGCAGCTCCTATCTGTGTTAAGGCACTGATTTGTAGGCTTGCAAAGATTTTCATTTAACAGTTGTCTTGCAGTATTTTTTATGATAGGAAAAACTTAGGTATTGTATAATATGAGATTGGTTAAGTAAATATAGTGTCTTCATGGAGGGTAATACCTTACAGCTCGTAGACATGATAATAGATTTCTACTAATGGCTTGGAAAGCATATATCTATTAAGTGTAAAAGGTAGGTTAAAAAATTATGTGTAACATGATCACATTTTTGAAGGCAAATACCTGTATGTGTTCATTAAGTCCAAAATGTATACATCAGAGGTAACCTAACACCCTGATTGGTGTGATTCAGTTGACAAAACAAAAGGTTGCTGGTTCCATTCCCTGTCAGCATATGCCTGGGTTACGGCCCAGTCCCTGGTTGGGGTTTGTGTGGGAGGTAACTGATCGATGTTTTTCTCACATGTTGGTGTTTCTCTTCTTCTCTTTTTCTATCCCTTCCCCTCCCTTTGGAAAAATAAATAAAATCTTAAAAAAAATAAATTGGGAAGTCTGGAATGGTATCTATAAATTTGAATTACCAGTGATTTTATTTGAGTGGTAGGATTTTTGGATGAATTTATTTTTTTATATTTTGGATGAATTTAATTGAAGAAAATGAACTTTATTTTTTAGAACAGTTTTATATTTATAGAAAAATTGCAGAATATGTTATAGAGAGTTTCCTTATACCCAGTAACCAGTTTTCCCTATTAATAACATGTTATGTTAGCATGGCACATATGTTACAATTAATTAACCAGTAAATACTGATACATTACACAGGTCAATCAGATTTCTTTATTTTTTCAGATAATTTTCTAAAAAAGATCTTATTTATTTTTAGAAAGAGTAGAAGGAAGGGAGAAAGAGAGGGAGAGAAACATCAATGCATGGCTTACCTCTTGAGCGCCCCTTGCTGGGGAACTGGCTCGCAACCCAGGCATGTGCCCTGACTAGGAATTGAACCAACTACCCTTTGATTTGCAGGCTGGTACTCAATCCACCGAGCCATACCAGCCACGTCTATTTTTTTAAAATACATTTTTAAAAGATTGTATTTATTTATTTTTAGAGACGGGGAATGGAGGAAGAAAGACAGGGAGAGAAACATTGATGAGTGGTTGCCTCTTGCGTACTCCCAACTGGGGACATGGCTGGCAACCCAGGCATGTGTGCTGACTGGGAGTGGAACTGGTGATCCTTTGGTTCGCAGGCTGGCAGTCATTCCACTGAGCCACACAAGCCAGGGTGAGGTAATAATCATTCATATATATTGATTTTAGAGAGAGAGGAACATTGATTTGTTGTTTCACTTATTTATGCATTCATTGATTGATTCTTGTATGTGTCCTGAATGGGGATTGAACATAGAACCTTGGCATATCGGAGCAATGCTCTAACCAACTGGCCAGGGCTTTTAATCAGATTTCTTTAGTTCTTTTTTAAAATTGCTATTTTTTTTTAAAGAGTTTATTTGAGCCAAGCTAATGACATATGTCAAAATATTTCAAATGCTTTGGAAAATGACAAATTTGCCATCCCTTCCTTTCTTCGTTCCTTCTTTCCTTTTGGTGTATACTTAAAGAATATTTAATTTTTTTTAAGTATATTTTATTGATTATGCTTAACAGTTGTCCCAATTTTCCCCCCTTTTTCCCACCTCTGCCCAGTATTCTTCCTTCCAGCAATCCCCCGTTAGTTCATATCCATGGGTTGTACATATAAATTCTTTGGCTTCTCCATACCCTATATTATTCTTAACATCCCCTGTCTATTTTGTATCTACCAATTATGCTTCTTAATCCCTTATGTATCTTTTCCCCCATTCTCTCCCTTTCCCTTCCCTGCTGATAACTCTCCAAATGATATCCATATCTGATTCTGTTTCTGTTCTGGTTGTTTGCTTAGTTTGAGTTTCCTTTTGTTTTTTAGATTCAGTTGTTGATATAAGTTCTTGTCATTTTGCTATTCATAGTTTTGATCTTCTTTTTCTTAAAGAAGTCCCTTTAATATTTGAGAATGGGTCGGGGTAATTTTTGAAGGTAGAATTTGCTGATTGATTAGTTGCGGGAGTTAAGAGAAAGAGGAATCAAAAATTATTCCAAGTTTTTAGCTAGAGCAACTAGTGCAATGTAAACA